AAAAAAAAAAAAAAAAAAGAATTGGAAGTAAGGATAATAATATTTGACCTGAAGTATGTTTTCAACTTGTGGAATGTTTGTTGATTCCCTGTAGTCTGTGTTTTTCTCCAGAAGCCCTACATATGGCTGTGATGAGTGTTGCTTATTATGGATTATGATTCTTTTGGTCCTCCAGTTGTTGCCAAGTTTTGGGGTGCTGGAGTCTCCTCCTAGAGGTGGTTTCTAGGTTCTTTCTGTCTTGAGCAAAGAATTGGTCAAGATAGGAGCCAATGGTAGCAAAGTTTTATTAAAGGTATGCCAAGAAACAGGGTTTACAGAGCAAATTTGGGCCAAGTAAAGGTAGGAAAATAAGTATGCTCTACAGGAGGAGCAGGCTGCTATGAGAGAACACAGCAAAAACTCAGTGTGGATGGTCCTTTTTGTATCTCCACTCCTTAGGCTGATGTTGGGTCCAGGCCGTGCTATCAAAACCTGCTGGTGGGCCAGGGATTTAGCTCAGTGGCTCCGCCACCTACCTCACAAGCGCAAGGACCAGAGTTCAATCTCTGATACCAAAAAAAAAAACTACTGGAGTTCTCTTTACTGCATGTGTCCTGGGATTTTGTAATTACACAAATCAGGCCTTACTTCCCTGTACAGTTTTGCTATGCCCTAATCTCCTGTCTCAACAGTCAGAAGATTTTACCATGCTACTCAGAATGGCACACAATTTAAAACTTACCCATTTTTTCTGGAATTTTTCATTTAACATTTTTGGACCATTGTTGACCACAGATTAACAGACTGCAGATAGGGGGTGAGAGGTACAGTGGCAATCATTGCAGCAAAACCCAATTATTAGACTCTTTCATGTTGAGCTCATTTTTAGGTTTATTACTTTGTCAGAAACTTCTTAGGATTTTTTTCCCTTTTTTGGATTTCTTGACATCCATACTCTCAGTTGAATTACATTTCCTATCACAATCTTGACTTTTTTTATGACTTATAGATCAGGGTTTTTTTAAATTTTTGGTACCAGGGATCAAACTGGGGACCTTCCGCTTGCGAGGCAGGTGGTGGCACCACTGAGCTAAATCCCCGGCCTGTGATTTGTATATCCTCTAGGTTTGTACCCCACCAATTTGTCTTCCCTTATTTTTCCTAGAGTACTCTCTCTCTGAAAGAGATATCTTTAAATTCCTATTATAAAAATTAAAATGTTAAAATTGTTAAGTAACATTGTTAAAATATTAACCAGTACAAAATTTAAAAATTAAAAATAGATTAATGGTAAAATTGTTCTATATCCTGTGTTGGCAATTAAAACCCATACAACTGCTGAGCAAGGTGGAGCACACCTTTAATCCCAGGACTGAGAAATGCTGAGGCAGGAGGATCCCAAGTTTGAGCCCAGCTTGGGCAATTTAGAGACTTAGGAGATCCTGTTTGAAAATAAAAAGGTTTTAGGGCCAGGGATTTAGCTCATTGGTTCCGCCTCCTGCCTTGCAAGCGCAAGGATCAGAGTTTGATTTCCGGTTCCAAAACAAAAACAAAATCAATAAGCTCTCTAAAAATAAAAAATTTTTAAAAGGCTAGGTGGTGTGGCACATTGGATAAGCCCTGGATTCAGTTCCCAGACCAGGGTGGGGAGGGGGGTTGGTGGGGGGGAGTCTATGTTCTTCCTTTCTCCATTAACAAAATATTTAATTATGCATAATGAAAATGCTTCATCTCATTTTCATTTCTGTATTTTATCCAGAAAAAGGATAGAGAAAAGTCATATGAAATGTGTCTGATTTCAAATTCATCTTGGTTATTTTTGTTTATAGCCATGAGTCTTTTTGCTTATAGCCATGAGTCTTGATCAGCCTGTAGAGAAGATTTAGACTGGGAAGTCAGAAGGGTGGCAAGAATAGCTAGTATTCTGACAGTGGGGAATTTTACAGGAAGCAACCCGTGCTGATAAGTATCAATTATCTTGAAAATCGGCACTTGTGACTAACTAGAAATACCTAAAACATTGCCTAGTTTAGAGATTAGATATATTTATTTAGGTATCAAACAGTTCCTCCCAGTTTTTCTTTTTTCTTCTTTCTCTTTTTTTTTGAAACAGATTCCCCATATGTAGTACAGGCTGACCTTTAACTCATGATCCTCTTGCTTCAGCTTCCTGATTCCTGGGCTTACAGGCATGTGCCCCAATGCCCATTCCCCAGTTTTCTTTAGGAAAGCAAGTCACAGTAAGCCTCATGCTCCTCCCATTGCATCACAATGGACAGTAATAAGTGTAGGATTGGTCTAGGTGCTGTAAGGGAATTGGTGAACAACTTTTTAGAAGATACACTGTAAAGATTATTTTTAGTAGCACTTCTCAACCATCTTGTTCACTTACTTGCTTTTGTTTATTATCAATTTTCTACCTCCCAAACACTTATGTTCCGTGAGAGCAGAGACTTGTCTCCTTTATTCCCTGCTATATCCCCAGCACCTAAAATCATACCTTGCAGATAATGGTTGCTTAGAAAATATTTGTCAAGAGAATGAATGACTCTTGTCTTTACAGATTCATCAGTAGACAAATAACTACCAGCCAGGAACAAATATTATATCCCCAGGATATCTGCTCAAAACACTTTAAAGACTGTTAATAGTGATGATAATGAAAAGAAGCCATACATTATTCCATATTCATCACTTGCTACAATGTCTTTTTTTTTTCCTCGTTTTTTTTTCCCATTTGTTTATTTTTGTCAGTCCTTCAAAAGAGAACAGGGTGTTTCTTTTAAAGAGAACTATCAGGGAAGTTATACTGCTCAGATCTAGGAGTAGAAGAATAACAAAAGCTAAAATGACAGGCCTTATATTATTTTTGGAAAAGAATACTGTTCTTTTGGAAAAGAATTCAGTACTATTTCTTCTTTTTAATGAATAGGTACTCATAAACCAGCCTAAATAATGGAATTGCAGAACTTTACTCCATAATAATGTCTTGGTGCATAATAATGTCTTGGTGCAGGTTTTTCTTAGAAAACCTAAGCAAATATTGAATCTATTCTCACTAAAATTTTGTTTTCTAGAATTAAATGGAATGATTTTACTCTTGTTGCTGTTTTTGTTGTTGTTTGGGTGTTTTGTTTTTTGGCAGTACTAAGAGTTGAACCCAGGGCTTCACACGTGTTAGGCAAGTGTTCTACTACTAACCTACATTCTCAACTCTTATTTTGTTTTTTTGTTTTAATTTTTGAGACAGAGTCTTGCTGAGGTGCCCAGGCTGGCCTTAAACTTGCAATCTTCCTACCTCAGGTTCTCAAGTAGCTAGATCCTTCCCCTTCCCCTTCCCCTTCTTCTTCTCCTTCTTCTTCCTCTTCTTCTTTTTCCTTTTATATACAATTATTTTCCACTCAATTTGTTCCCATACCATAAGTTTTTGTTTCTTCAGGGATGTTTTTTCCTTCTGTACAACCTCCTCTTCCGATTTAGGAACAATTTGCTTCTCTGTAGCAAAGACCATCTCAGTGTAGGTTAGTCAGACTATGAGCTCTATCAGCCCAGAAGCTCACCTTGGGTGTTTTATTCACCTGGTGCAGTATGTTCAGTGACTGCAAAACTTATAGCTAAACTCTTAAGTTTAACATTTCTATGTATCTGTGAGTGAGTGCAGTAAAAATTCAGCACTGTTTTGGGCCACTAACTCTGCCCAACCCCACAGTTTGGTCTGGGCACAACACTGTAATGGCAGAATGTTTCTGTAATGTGACACTTTAAGATACTTGGTGAGTTGGTTTCTACATGTATCCTTCATCATACCCAGGCAGTTTCACGGGTATTCCTAAAGTGAACAAGAAATCTTGATTTGTATGATTTTGTGGGGTTTTCTGTGCCAAGTTAATAGAGAACCACTTTCACATATCACTTCAGGCCACTTACAGCAACTCTATTGCCACTCTATTGCTTCTTTAAAGAAGAAGATTACTATAGACAAACACAAATGTTATGAGGTTTTATAAATTCTTACTGATTTGTATAAAGCAACAGGCAAAAATGGACATGTTTTTCTAAAATAAGATTTTTAAATGGTTGAGTGCTTAGAATGCCTGTTGAGTACAGGCCTTCATACTTACTGACAGTTGGGAGAACATTAATATTTTCTTCATTGTTAAAAATGTTTATTGAGTAAAGAATTGAAAGAACCAAAAAAAAAAAGGCTGTGGTAAGGCTCTATCCCGAGCCCTGTTGCTGTGTCCTTTGATGATCTTGGGTGGTCTCTTCCTTTTTGAACCCTAGTTTCCTTGTTTATAAAATGAGTAGGCCAGGCATCACAATTTCTAAAGACTCTTTCAGCTCTAAAAATGTAATAATACACACGGGTTTCCTATGAAGAAAAGCACACTTCCTCCAAAAGAGGGTGCTATGGTATTTCTCCATTTTTAGCATTTTCTTTGAAGGAAATAAAGATTTAATTTCAGCTTTTTTTTTTTTTTTTTTGGTACCAGGGATCAAACTCAGGACCTTGCACTTTCAAGGCAGGCAGAACCACTGAGGTAAATCCCCAGCCTAATTTCAGCTTAATTTTGAGTCCTTAGACTTTCACCCTTTGAAAAATAGTATCTAACTCCTTACTTTATTTACATGAGGCCATATAGGCCAATTCTTAATTTTTTAAATTGTAAAAATATGTATATTTCAGGAAATCTCGAAAATAAAATTGCAAAGAAGAAAACAAAATAAACATATCTCACTACCTAAATATAGCCAGTTTCAACAATTCATTGTATTTCAACTCTCTTTTTCTAGGGGGATGGGGTTTGAGACAGTGTCTAGCTTATGTATTCCAGGTCAGCCTTGAACTCACTATATAGACCAGGCTGCCCTCAAACTCATGGTGATCCTTGTGCCTCAGCCTCCAACTGCTGGGATTACAGGTGTGTGCCACATGCTCAACTAAGAGGTGACCTCTTCTAAAGAGTAGAATATTTAAACATGGACATTTTTCACAGTAATTTTTAAATTTTTTTCATAATACTGGAAAATATATACATAAATATATAGATTTTTTTCTCTCTCTTTTCCTGCCTGTTGAGACCTTTTCCATAGAATTAAATATTTTAGAATCCATCATTTTTAGTGATTACATAGCCACTTTCCTATTGTTCAATATCTGTTGTTTCTAGTTTATATTATATAGATCATATATGTGTGTGTGTGTGTGTGTATGTGTATTACATAAATGTGTTCAAATTTATGAGTCAAAAACTATAAATATTTTACTATACTTGATCTTAGCCAAAAGGCCGAGAAGCAATTATAAACATTTTAAAGTGCTTGGTAAGGTGCCGGGGACTTAGCTCAGTGGTTCCAGCGCCTGCCTTGCAAGCGCAAGGTCCCGAGTTCTATCCCCGGGACCAAAAAAAAAAAGTTCTTGGTACATTTTGTAAAATTACGTTTCTAAAATATACTGATTAATATTCATTATTTTCTAATGAGCATTAATTCAATCATTTTAATCTTTTAGCCAAAAGAAAAGGTTGGTTTTTTTCTTTGTTTTGTTTTGTTTTTTTTTTTGGTTGTTTGTTTTGTTTCGGGTTTTTTTGGTACCGGGGATTGAACTTGGGTTCTTGCGTTTGCGCAGCAGGCAGCGAAACCACTGAACTAAATCCCTGGCCTAAAGGTTGTATTTTTTACAATAGTAATCATCTTTATTATTTTTATAACAATTTTATTGAGAATAGAATTCGCCCAAAGTATACATTTCAGTTGTTTTTAGTATATTCAGAGTTGTGTACCCAGCACTGCATCCAGTTATGTAACGTTTTTATCATCGCAAAAAGAACCCCTTACCCATTAGCAGTGCCCCCCATTTCCCATGCTTACCCCCAAGGCAACTACTGATCTACTTCCTGTCTGCAGATTAGCCTACCTAAGAATTTCACATGTGAAATCATACAGTACATTTTATGACGTTCTGTATCTGTTTTTGTTTTGTTTGTTTGTTTTCACTTAGTGTTTTCAAAGTTCATCTACATTGTAGCATGTTATCAGTCCTTTTTGGTTCTGTTATTGTCAGATAATATTTTATTATATGGGTATATTTATCCATTCAGGAATTGAATTGTTCCTCCTTTTTAGCTATCATGAATAATACTAGGCTAATGGGTTTGGTCCGTTCCCCCCAACCCCCTCAGTACCAAGGATCAAACTCAGGACCTTGCACTTTTGAGGCAAGTGCAGCACCACTGAGCTATATCCCTGGCCCATATCATGAATAATACTGCTCTGAAGATTTTCATGCAAGGTTTTGTGCAAACAAGTGGTTTTTATTTCTCTTGGATATCTACTTAGGAATAGAACTGCTGGGTCATGTGGTAACTCTTTGTTTTTGAAGAGTTTGTCTTCCAGCCGGGGATATAGCTCAGTGGTTCCGCCCCCTGCCTTGCAAGTGAAAGGACTCGAGTTTGATCCCTGGTACCAAAAAAAGAGTCTGTCTTCCAAAGAGCTCCTACATTTTATATTTCTACCAGCACTGTGTCAGGCTCCAATTTCATCATATCCTTGCCAGCACCTGTGATCTTTTGTGTTATAATAATTCTACTAAGGGTTAGGTGGTAGCTCAATTGATTTTTATTTGCATTGCTCTAATAGCTAATGATGTTAAGCCTTTTAAAATATGCTAGTCATTTGTATATATTCTTTGGAGAAATATCTATTCAGATCCTTTGCTCATTTTATTTTATTTTATTTTTGGTACCAGGGATCGAACTCGGGACCTTGTGCTTGCAAGGCAGGCACCGGAACCACTGAGCTAAATCTCTGGCCCCTTTGCTTATTTTAAATTAGGTTAATTTTCTTTTTTAATGAGTTTCAAGAGTTTTTATGTATATTGGGTACTAAATTCTAATCAGATAGATATATGATATACAAAAATTTTCTCCCATCTGTAGTTGTTTTTTCACTTTCTTGAAGGTGACTTTTAAAGCACAAAAGTTTTTCTTGCTTTTTTTCTGTCTTTATTTATTTATTTATTTATAGAGACAGGTTCTTGCTATATAGTTCAAGCTGACATCAAACTCAGGGTCCTCCTGCCTCAGCCCCAGAAGTTTTTAGTTTGGATGATACCTATTTTGTCTTTTTTTTTTTTTTTTTTTAATGTTCCTGTGCTTTTGGTCTGATACCTTAAGAAACCATTATCTAATGCAAGGTGACAAAGATTTGTGCTTTGTTTTCCTTAAAAATTTTATGATTTATATTTATTTTATAATTTGAGTTCATTTTAGTGTATTATATGAAGTATGAGTTCCACTTGATTCTTTAGCATATGGCAATCCAGTTATCTTGGTACTGAGAACTTCATAACATCATTAGTTAATTTACTAGCAAATTTCTGTGTGCCTGCTTAATGCCTGCTTGTATCAAAATACTTCTATTTGTCAGTGTCTGGAAACAACGCAGAAGATTTTTCCTAAGTGGTAGCTTTCCACATGGACTTTTGGTTTTTGT